TATCCCTGTGACCCTCCTGAGCCCTCACTGTAGAAGTTTATACCCCAAATTACTTGCAGGTAAATAATAAATTCTTATACAAGAGAGATGGCTGGAAGCTTATCAGGGAAGCCACCCAGGGCCTTTGTGACTTGGGGAAAAACACTGGCCTGTATCCATGACTTTAGAAACCACTTCCTAACATAATAGCTGTCCCTACCTACATGTAAATCCACCTTCAGAGCCCATTTAGTTTACCCCAACTATTCTCACTCATTCCAGTGTGGGCTATTTCACATGTTTCTGTATTTTGTTTCATTGTCTATATCTGGCCTCATTGCAGGATCACATTCAGAGCAAGACCTAACTGAATACTTTTCCTGGGACTTCTTCATAGCTCTGGATACATAGTCAAACTAAGAGTAGATGCTCAATAATTGCAGAGAAAACAAGGGACAAAAGGGACCTTGGTCTAAAAGAGACAAAAGGTTGGCTCTAGAATTAAAAAGCAGGTAGAACGGGTGATTAATGTGGCAAGATGGGTGGCTACTCAGCTTCCCCTGCTGAGATAGGAGCTTCTTAAATGGTATCATCTTCCTCCACTCTGAAGTTGTATCTTTGTTACTTCTCTGTTCTTCATATGATATATATATATCACTAGTGGTTATGGAATAGACGACAAACTTGTCCCAATTTGTATGGGGCATTTCCAGTTTTAGCAATAACAGTCCACTGCCTGGGAAAGCCCTCCTTACTGGCAAACTGGACATTTGGTCACTCAGGAGGCAAAAATATTTCCCTAATCAAAAAAATCAAGATTGCTACATCTCATTCTACCCACCGAATACATTTCCTATTGCTACTGTAACAAATTACCAAAAATTAAGTGGCTTAAGACACCAATTTATCATCTTATATTCCTGGAGATCAGAAGGCCAAAATGGATTTTGCAAAGCTAATATCCAGGTGCTGGCAGGGGCTCTGTTTTTTGTTTGTTTGTTTGTTTTTGTTTTTCCTGGGGGCTTCAGGGGAGAATCCCCTTGCTGGCCATCTCCAGCTTCTACAGGACACATTCCTTGGTTCTGACTTCTTCCTCCATCTTCAGAGCCAGCCACCATGTCACCCCATCCTCTGTTTTCATCATCACATCTCTCCCAACTCACTCTCCCACCTCCCTCTTTCACTCTCAATCACATCTGCAAAGTCCCTTTTGCCATATACGGCAGCATATGCAGTGGTTCCAGGGATAAGAATGTGGATGTCTCTGGAGGCCTATTCTACCTACCACACCCACTTCTCTCTGGGAGTTGATAGAACACCTTAATGTATTAAAGAAATATTTTTAAAATCTCATAGAAAATAAGCTATTTCACTTTGCTTAATCAGTGTTTTTCAAATTTATGTAATCAAGAAATTCTATTTTTCTTCCCAAGGAACACTTCTTAACATTTTATGGAAGGCTGCTGCTCTTGCAAAAGAGTAGGATTCAGAATGGTAGATGGGTAGACTGCAAGTCCAGAGACATTCCACAACATGTGCAGAGTTTTGAGGGAACCAAGTTATAGATCCAAATTCCTCTTGACAACTTCATTACATATTCTTTGTACATACTAATATACAAACTCATCTGCCTAAGAAGAAACCTAAGGTCAAGGCATGGTGGATCTCCCTTTCTTCCACTCTTTTAGCCTCTACCTCCTGAGCTCAAGAAGTCCTCCTATCTTAGCATCCTGAGTAGCTGAGACCACAGGTGCATGCCTGGCTAATTTTTTATTTTATTTTATCTTTATTTTATTTTATTGAGACAGCGTCTCACTCTGTCATATAGGCTGGAGTGCAGTGGCAATATCACGGCTCACTGCAGCCTCAACCTCCTGGGCTCAAGCCATCCTCCCACCTCAGCCTCTCAAGTAGCTGAGACTACAGGTGCATGGCAGCACACCCAGCTAATTTTTGTATTTTTTCTAGAGGCAGGGTTTGCCATGTTGCCCAGGCTGGTCTCAAACTCCTAGGCTCAAGTGATCTGCCCAGCTCAGCCTCCCAAAGTGCTGGGATTACAGGGTATAGTGGCCAAGCAAAAAATCCTATTGGGACATTTTGCCCTGGGGTACAAAATCTCCTGGGTCAAACAAAGAGTTGATGTGAATTTTGCCTTGCCAATGATGACTCTTTTGATAAGGCACCATAATCTACCCCTGCCCATCTTATTTAGAGGTACATTTCCACTAAAACTTTATTACTTATGTCTAGTAAGTAGTTATCAAAAGTTTTGATATTTTATATCATACCTAAAATATTTAAAATGATAACTCGCTCCAAAGAAAAATTTTTAATTTTTGCTTAGAGATTTATGGTCCCTGGAATCTTCTTTTAATTTAAATTTAAACTCATATGCATCCTTTGGTTGTAGAGAATTTGATGGATTGATCAAATATTTTCAGGCATAAGCACATACATGCATTTAAAGTGCTGTGGGTGAAGCAGAACAGAGATACGATTTCAAGGAGAAAAAAAGAACAATGTAACAAGACCTTGTTTATGTCATTTTTAAAATGTTATATAATGGGCATTATATAACAACAGTAATTATGTTAATTGGACACATTTAAAAGAATTTAACAGGTTAGTTTGAAAATGTCACTATTTACATTATCCAGAAATTGTATCTTTCCTAACTAATCTTAACATGAAAAATACTTGCTGACAAGTTTTTAAATATTCGAGAAGGTACACAGTTTTAACAATTCTTTTGGGGGCCAGGCACAGTGCACATCCCTGTAGGCCCAGCTACTTGGGAGCTGAGACAGGAGGGTTGCTTGAGCCCTGGAGTTCAAGGCCAGCTTTGAGGGCACCATAGCGAGACCCCCATCTCAAAGAAAAACAAAATAAAATAAATGTTGATAAATTTAATTAATTTTTTTTGTTGTTGAGACAGTCTTGCTCTGTCAATCAGACTGGAGTGCACAGGCGCAGTCTCAGCTCACTGCAAGCTCTGCCTCCTGGGTTGAAGCACTTCTGGTGTCTTAGCCTCCCAAGTAGTTGGGACTACAGGTGCGTGCCATCATGCCTGGCTAATTTTTGTATTTTTAGTAGAGATGGATTTTAGCCATGTTGTTCAGGGTGGTCTTGAACTCCTGACTTCAACTGATCGACCAGCTTTTGCTTCCCAAAATGCTGGGATTACAGGCATGAGCCACAGTACCCAGCCAATTAGTTATTTTTTTTTTTTTAATTGTTAGGGGGATATGTGAGGTCTAACTACTGGTCCAGAGCAGAATGGAGGAAATGCTGGCAGTACAAAGAGCAGGGTATGGAATCAGGCCAGCAGGAAGGCCTCCAGAAAAATGCCCACTTCACCCAACCGAAAGAGTTAAACAGGGCCTGGCACAATGCCAGCACTCCTTTCATTCAGCCAACACCTGCTGTGTGTGGCCAGTGTGCCAGGCATTGGGGGTAAAGTCGGGCTTAGACATGACTCCCTGCCCCCAGGCACTAACCTGCTATTGGACACATATGTAATTGACCTGCTGCTTCTGGGTAACTGCATGTTGGCTGCATTTCTAGAGAGTCTAAAGACCTTATTCTTGGGTAGTTTTTAGAAGCTGTGACTGACTACAAAGCCATGACTCATTTTGTTATATTCTAGAATGAATCAATCTAGATTCCACTATTCCTATTAGAATAGTCACCTGAGGAGGCATATGCTTATTTCAGTGACAGAGCAATTGCTCAAAAGTCTTTAAGCTTCATCTGTGGAATTCACTTTAAAGCATACAGTGCAATCTTTTGAATATGCTTAGTGCTTGTAAATATTTGCTTTTGGAGAACAACTTTGATTTTGCCCAAAACAAAAGCTATTCACCCAAAGCTCTGGCGATCATGGTAGTTGATGAGACTGGGCAGGAATATCATTTGACTCAAACTCTGGAATAGTATCAGTCAGGAAGTTGGAGATTTCTCATAGTAAAGAAGAGTCAGGAGAGACTGTTCATTCCTTTTATGTTTTGCAGGATGAGTGTTTATTCCTTTTAGCACTGAGGCAGGAGGGAAAATCCTGGCCATACCATGGTCACTTGACTGTGAAGTTGCTTAAAGATTCTGTTGTCTCAGACTTTGGGAGAGAGCTTGCTGGGGCTGTGGGAGACCCCTGGTGCTCACTGCTTTAGTTCTGCAGACCCCGCTGCAGCTACCCCATGCCAGGTTGTACTCTGGAGGGACCTGTAGCTGGAAGAAGCCAGAGAGCAGAAGTAGCTGTCCTTTAAGGACCCAGGGCTGAAGGTATGTGGCTGGGCAAGCCATGAAGGGGCATGTAGGGCCTGTGGAGTCCTGATAAGTAAGCAACAAGGAGGAAGAGGCCCCAAATAGGGGAGGGTTCCAGGCTGGGAAGAACAATGAATAATTGTTCTGAGAAATGGCTAATCACAAACCTGCAGGCACAGCCACCTCATTCTGTTTGTGGTCCCAGCAGCAGAACCTCTTCTGCATGTAGCTTCCTCCAGCACAACACTATAAAACTTCCTCCAGCTCGTGCCTCTTTGAAGACAGCCCCTTCTCTGCTGTTCTGCCTGTTGTAACCTTGCAACATATTTCATACTTTCCCTCATAATTCTACCTTTCTTACCTAAAGCTGTCTTGGTAAATTTCTTTACCACCCATGACACCAGCCCCAGCTAGTTGTACTGCAACAGGGCCTTTGTTTAAATTGCGTTTGAGTGCTTACTGAGTCTGTGTCTGCAAGGCCGGAGCATCCACTGATTAATCACTGCCCACTTAAAGAATGAATCCAGAGGAAACAAAGAGGGAGGGGCCAGACAAGGAGAATAGAAGACAGGGCACGTAGCCATCACTCTGTCTACTCTACCTATCCTGTCACTCCTGTGTGGACACAAAGCACTGGACAAAAGCTCATGGGATTCTCAAGGACCTTCAATTCTCAAATGAATATCGAGTATAAGTTTGGTATATACTGTATTTTACTACTTTCTTATTCTTCTGCATTTCTCTGGTATTTTACTCAACAGATACCATTTCCTAAACCCAAAACTGAGCTAGGTGCTGCGGGAGACATTCTCTCTGACCTTGGGCAACTTGAATCTCCTTGGGAAGATAAGAACAATATGCATACATACTATAGAGTGAGGATGGCCAGTGTGTTTCATTTCAGATGTCAGCTCCAGCTAATTGGTGGCCTTGTGAAGTATTTCATCAAATCAAAGTCACCATCAATTGTAAGATGCCATTTTATGTGTTCTAAAGAAAGAAAAAAATGGCTGGGTACAGTGGCTCACACCTGTAATCTCAGCACTTTAGGAGGCTGAGGTGGGTGGATTACAAGGTCAGGAGTTCAAGACCAGCCTGGCCAGGATGGTGAAACCCTGTCTCTACTAAAAATACAAAAAATTAGCCAGGTGTGATGGTGGGCACTTGTAATATCAGCCACTCAGGAGGCTGAGGAGGAGAATTGCTTGAACCCAGGAGGCAGACGTTGCAGGGGCCAAGATCGTGCCATTGCACTTTAGCCTGGGCAATAGACAGACTCTGTCCAAAAAGAAAAAGAGAATGAAAAAGAAAAGAAAAGAAAAAACGAATGAAGGAAGGAAGGAAGGAAGGAAGGAAGGAAGGAAGGAAGGAAGGAAGGAAGGAGGGAAGGAAGGAGAGAGAAAGAGAAGGAAATAAGCTGTAAGTTAAATTATGAACCACTGCTTTCTTATTACTTAGAATTTTTATTTATATTTATTGCAAGAGGCTTTTTAGACTTATTTGCATATAATGTGGATTTTAAAAAACATATTGCTCTCACTCATAAAGTAGAAAATAACAGCAAAATAAATTGGGTCTGGTTTTCCTAAGCTGCTTCACCTTCAGAGTACTACCCATCTGTAGCATCTTTGACATGGAGTTATTGATGTCTGTGTTCCCACAGTACAACTCTCTATGCCATCAAGAGTATTCAGACGGCAACAATTCTTACAAAAATTTCTCCTGACTTGCTCCCAAATCTCTGACACCTTTGGGTAGTAACAGCCACAGTACAATAGCTACCTGGCAACAGTGACTGAAAGACCCATCCAGTTTTCAATATTTCAAAAGCAAAAAAATACCTCTTAGACTCAATGATATGTCGGTTCTGAGATTCAGTCAACATTACTTTCATGATCAACTATCCATGTCTGCCCTGGGAATGGGGTTGACACTAGGGCTACATTCTCGCCACCAAGCAATAATTTGCTCCTGTATAGTTTGCAAAGCTGAATGGTTTCCAGTGTGACAGCAGTGGTAGGGAGTTCTCTGTGAGCTAGTAGAATCAGGAAAGCTTTATGAATGAAGTAGGTCTAAAAAGGTAAGATCTGACCTGGTTAATAGGACATGACCTCCAGCAGAGGAAACAGCAAAAGCACAGTTTAGAGCATTCAAAAGGATAAACAAACATGTCATGTGGAGAAGAAAGTAGGGGAACTAGGGTGGGCTGGGGTTTAGTTAGGGAGTTCGGGGATATATATATATATAAACATATAAGTTTTTGCTCTAAGAACATAAGTTCAAGTTAGTGTGTTTTACTTGTGGGAAAGTAATAAACAGTTTTTTGTTTTTGTTTTTGTTTTTTTTTGAGATGGAGTTTCACTGTTGTTACCCAGACTGGAGTGCAATGGCATGATCTTGGCTCACCGCAACCTCCGCCTCCTGGGTTCAAGCAATTCTCCTGCCTCAGCCTCCCAAGTAGCTGGGACTACAGGCGCACACCACCGTGCCCAGCTATTTTTTGTATTTTTAGTAGAGACGGGGTTTCACCTTGTTGAGCAGGATGGTCTTGATCTCTTGACCTCGTGATCCACCCACCTCAGCCTGCCAAAGTGCTGGGCTTATAGGCGTGAGCCACCGCGCCCAGCTATAAACAGTTCTTATATCTTTAAAACATTTATATCTTTCCTTACCATAGGTCCTGATGTTTTTAGTTCAAAGAGTCTTGCCCTTCAAGCCCAGAAGAAGATTCTAAGCAAAATAGCCAGCAAAACTGTGGCCAATATGTTGATTGATGACACCAGCAGCGAGATCTTTGATGAGCTCTACAAAGTCACCAAAGAGCACACTCGCAACAAGAAGGAAGCCCACAGAATCATGAAAGACTTAATCAAGGTGGCGATCAAAATTGGGATTCTCTACCGGAACAACCAGTTTAGCCAAGAGGAGCTTGTTATCGTGGAGAAGTTCCGGAAGAAGCTGAACCAGACCGCCATGACCATTGTCAGCTTCTATGAGGTGGAATACACCTTTGATAGGAATGTGCTCTCCAAGCTGCTGCATGAGTGCAAGGACCTGGTGCACGAACTGGTACAGCGACACCTGACGCCCAGGACCCATGGGCGCATCAACCATGTCTTCAACCACTTTGCCGATGTAGAGTTCCTCTCAACCCTCTATAGTCTGGATGGAGACTGTAGGCCCAACCTCAAGAGGATTTGTGAAGGAATCAATCAGTTGCTAGATGAGAAAGTCCTTTAAATGCCTTGCCTCCTCCTGGACTTTGCTGCTTTAAAGTTACAGTGCCCAACCATAATCTGGGTGAGAATCAAGAACATAAGCAGAAACCCTTGTCAAAGATGTCCATGTTCTGTCCTGTTTATCCCTCTGATGCTGATGCTGATGCTGAACTGAGCTTAGGTGTGTTTTTCTTCTGAGCTCTCTAAGAAAGTTTCTACTTAAAATCACCTGTGTGTAAGCCCAAAAGACATTTCATGTATTTTAAGCAGAAAGTCTCTTTTGCTCATTACAGTGAGTGCAGTTTATCTCACGGAGTGGGAGGAGCACTGGACTGGGAAACAGGACAAGGATTTGGTTTCCAACTTTACCAGTTAGGAAATTACCCTCTGCATTCTGGAACCAGGATGCCTGCCTGTCTGCCTCACAGGGCTGTTTTGAGGACCAGATGAGATGATGTATGTTCATGCTTTTGGAAACTCTAATGTAAGATCTTAATATTTTTGTCTTCTGAGTGTGAGGGGATAAACCTGGATGTAGAATATAAGCACCATAGGAGAAAAGAACAATAGAATCTAATGGACTGGGTTTGCAATCTGTCTCTAAATGCACTGCTTCAGACAAAGTAAAATCCAAAGGTGTGAAAAAGTGTAGCTGCAAATTGGAAAAATGTTTTTCAAGAGTTATGTTTTTGGCCTGGCGTGGTGGCTCACACCTGTAATCCCAGCACTTTGGGAGGCCTAGGCGGGAGGATTGCCTGAGGTCAGGAGTTTGAGACCAGCCTGGCCAACATGGTGAAACCCCATCTCTACTAAAATTACAAAAATTATCTGGGTATGGTGGTGCACACCTGTAATCCCAGCTACTTGGTAGGCTGAGGCAGGAGAACTCCTTGAACCCAGGAGATGGAGGTTGCAGTGAGCTGAGATGGTGCCAGTGCACTCTAGCCTGGGCAACAGAGCAAGACTCTGTCTTTTTTTTTTTTTTTCTTTAAAAAAAGGTGTTTTTAAGGTCTTAAATGTTTAGGTTTATGATCCTGCAGAGGGAAACTTTCCATGGGGGGTGGGGAGAGAGAGTTTTCCACCCATAACACAGAAACAGAAGCACTGTGCTCCCTCTGCAGGACCAGCCTTCCCTTATCTAAAGGGCATGGAGCTCAGGGAGGCTTTATTCCACGCGCACGGGAGAGTCAGGCAGAATGAACCCCTACCAACCTTTCTTGGCCTTTCACAGTCATTTTGTGCTGTTGTCTTCTGGTTCATTAATAAATTGAAACTACCCTCCAAACAAGAGATCTTAGAGTTGTGATTCAAAATAAAATTCCTTGGAGTTAAATACAGTGTTAAGAATAACAGGATTGAAAAGAATAAGAAAATGAAGAGTAAGAGTTCTGCACTCGGACCCCAAGGGACAGTAGCTTCAGAGGAGCACAAGTAGGTGTGTCTGTGAGATGGTCAATGGGGAGCTAGCCCATAGACACGAACCACCTTCTCCAAATGCCACAGCCTTGCTTTCACAGTGCAGGTTCTGACATCTTTTCATCATAGTCTTAACTAACATCAGGACAATGTACTTCCTTTCAACATTGTGCCATATTAAAAGACTCGCTCCTTTTGCCTTTTCTCCCATCCTCCTGTGCTTCTCTCTGTCTAATAACAATGTAAAAATACCATACTAGCTCAGCCCTATGGTTCATGCCACCCCATGGTCTAATCTATCTCCAGCAGGAGCATCAAGAGATGGTTTGTGGGAAGGTGTGAAACAATGTGCACTGAGCCTTGCTGGCCATTCAGCCTCAGCTGGCTCTCATGTTAACATCATAACAAACCATCTGGTTATGTTCTTCAGCCTTAGTACCCAGAATTAGTTCATAAGAAGGCTATTCAGTATGGAATATGGAAGAGTAAAACAAACCCCTGTTCTCCATATTGGACAAACATGGCCTAGCCCTCTACTCAAACCCAAGGTCTGAACAATGATGATGCCCTGTGCACACCTGGGCTGGGGAGGTTAGTCATTTGGCACTGCTGGTAGGAACTACAGGCAGTTTGCTCCCCTTCCTTCCCACCTGCCTGTGAGGCACCAGTCCAGCAGTAGCTGGATTTTCTCATGCAGAGTCCTCAAGGTTTGCCTTGATGTATTCATCTGACTAAGGATGGTTTTCTAGTTCAAGAGATGGTTCTAGAAGTAGGTTCATTCTTCATTAAGTGGACCATTACAGAGAACTCAGACCCAAGAGGAATGAGTGGACCTGTCTTCTGTCCATGTGAGATACAGTGAGGAAGGCAGGATCCCCAGCTAAAGAAGGTGATGGGTTCTCTACTAGCTCTGCAGGCCACAGCACAATAGTGTAAGAAGAAGGATGAGTTGGGTTCTGACAGCCCACAAGTCTCTAAGGAAACTGGGTCCTTCCTGCTCTGGTCGGGGAAGGATGAAGGATCAGCACTTCCACCAGTGGATCTCAGCAAGTGCAATAGCAGAATGTGGACCAAAACATTTTCTATTACCTTAGGCTCCCCACTGAGGGAGCTGGTGGGCTCTCTACCTGAGACCCCCAGACTTAGCAGCAGCCACCAGTGGGGAGCTGGGCTACCTGCATACAAGAACTTCTCTAAAAATACAAAGCCAAAACCAATCCCGTGTGCACATTTCAAACATACAGTTGGCATCTAAATCAAGTGATTCTTGAGTTTCATCAAGCAGCTGAAAGGCCTACAAATTTCAAATACTTTATATAACAATCTAAAGACCAAAGCAAACATCTCATTATACAGTCCTATTGGTTTATCCTGAGGACTCTAACCACATCACCTGGTGACCCTGAAAGGCTGTTTTGGCTGAAAAAAAATGTTACAGAGGCCAGAAGATGCTTTGGAAAGCAGGACTCTAGATGTGCATTTGTGCTCAGAACTCTGTACAAAATTTTCAATATGAGAACCCACAAAAGCAGAGTTAGAATAGCTACATTTTTAGGCCGTAATAACAAACATATCATTTTGCAAAATGATGGGAAAGTAATTTTAAAAGAAGCAATGGTATAAGATGGCTCAACTAATCCCACCACACAGACTTCAGACAGCAATGCCTAGCTCAGCAAACCAAGTAGGGGAGAGACATTCTTTAAGGGTGGGGAATGGCAGGAGCAGGTTGAATCAGTCATCTGGAAACATCACTGGGTCTTCAGCCATCCCTGAACACTGAGCTCTGTCCCCACAGGAGGACACCAGGGACTTGTGCTGAAATCCTCACCAAGCACTTTGGTGCATGTTGCTCCTCCTGTATTTGAGACCTGCAGAAACACATTCCCTGCCAGCTGCTGCCTGCCATGTGTCTGTATCGCTCCTCCTCTCTGTGTTTGCAATGTGGGTCTTGACACCCTAGTAACTCCAGGTCTCTGCTCAGTGACAAAATGAAAAGACTTCTTCATCTGTGCTTCTCCTTCAAACTCTCATCTCTCCCATCTGTACATTTTTTAGAATCAAATCAGTACATTCATTGGCTGCTCCAATAAACTTATTGCATCCATTTATATTTTTAAAAAGGAAGGAGTTCAAATCAGGTCTATGTGTCCTCTGCCCCAATATCTTTTTAAAATTCTTTTACTTTTTAGAGATAAAGCCTCCCTCTGTCACCCAGGTTGGAGTGCAGTGGCATGATCATAGCTCACTGAAGGCTCAAACTCCTGGGCTCAAGCAGTCCTCTTGCCTAAGTCTCCCGAGTAGCTGGGACTACACACACACCACCATGCCTGGCTAATTTGTGTGTGTGTGTGTGTGTGTGTGTGTGTGTGTGTGTGTGTGTGGAGATGGAGGTCTCATGTTGCCCAAGGTGGTCTCCAACTCTCAGCCTTAAGCAATCCTCCCACTTCATTCTCCCAAAGAGCTGAGATTATAGACGTGAGTGAGCCACTGTGCCCAGCCTTGCCCTAATATTTTTATGACTTTTCTTTTTCTTTTAATTCCACATGATCTCAGAGGTCAAGACCAAAACCAATTAGGGAAAATTCAACTTTGGCTGTGAAAACATTGCACTAACAGGAGCTATTTAATAGTGGACTAGAATGTTGACAATAGAGTTATAAATCAGATGGACTTGAAGAAGAGGGTCGCCAAGGCCTGCCCAACTGGGGGTTGAATGGTCAAATGGATCTTGCTTGTTTAGTCTGACCTTGCTACATGAGCCACAGCCCAAGCTGGGCCCAGCTCATGCTCTTTTTTTAGAGGGAGGTCTTGCTTATTAGCAAGGGGAGGGGAAGGGGTGGGGGGCAAGAATCTTTTACAGCACTATTCCTCAAAATAGCATCTACGAATCTCTAAAGTCCTGAGAGCAAAGGGGCGGGGAGGTGGAGTCCATGAGTTCCAAAACAAGTTTTTAAGTTTTTTTTCATTCTGACAACTTTTTTAAAAAATTAAGGGCCGGGCACGGTGGTTCAAGCCTGTAATCCCAGCACTTTGGGAGGCCGAGGCGGGTGGATCATGAGGTCAACAGATCAAGACCATCCTGGTCAACATGGTGAAACCCTGTCTCTACTAAAAATACAAAAAATTAGCTGGGCATGGTGGCGCGTGCCTGTAATCCCAGCTACTCAGGAGGCTGAGGCAGGAGAATTGCCTGAACCCAGGAGGCGGAGGTTGCGGTGAGCTGAGATCGCGCCATTGCACTCCAGCCTGGGTAACAAGTGAAACTCCATCTCAAAAAAAAAAAAAAAAATTAAAATCAACGTAAGTATGTTCCACATCATGTGGGAATGACCTTATAGCCATGTGGTACCAACTGGCTTCAGTCTGAGTTTCTGAGTTTGTGTTTACAACATTGCTCATGCTGACTGAGCATGGCAGTTGAAAGAAAAGAATTTAACTTCATGTGTTTAAGGTCTGACATAACCTAGAGGTCTGCTGGGGTAACTTGTGGGGTCTGTGAGTGCTCAATTTTAAGAATCATTGCTATGACACACGAAATTGGGGGCTTGCAAAGAATGAATGTCGCTCTCCCCTAAACAGTGACTTATTTGTGGGGGCTCAAAGGTTGAGAGGTGAGCCAAGTGTCTGAAGCACACATAGGTCTGCATTCTATGTGCAGGTCAGCTTCCACATGTTCTGCCTGCCCTTTGGAAACTGGCCAAGAGAAGCTACCACATATGTGTTAGTCTGTTTGCATTGCCATAAAGATACCCGAGGCTGTGTAATTTATAAAGACAGAAAGTTTATTTTGTCTCATGGTTCTGCAGGCTGTACAGGAAGCATGGTGCCAACATCTGATATTGGTGAGTGCTTGGGGAGCGTTTACTCATGGCAGAAGGTGACGTGGAAGCAGTCATGTCACATGGCAAGAGAGGGAGCAAAGGAGGAAGAGAGGAGATGCCTCTCTTTTAATAACCTGTCTTTTAAACAACTAGATCTCATATGAATTCAGAGCAAGAACTCACTCATTTCTGTGAGGACAGCCCTAGACATTCATGGGGATCTGACCCCATTGATCCAAACATGTTCTACCAGGTCCAATTTCCAATACCAGGGATTACATCTCAACATGAGATTTAGAGGGGACACACATTCAAACCGTGTCAACATAGAAATCAAATTAAAGAATTGACCAACCTATGCTGGCAAGCCTAATACTAATTTCAAAGGCTCAAGAGTGTCCATCACTGGACAAAGCAGGCAGTGTTACTCCTAAGGAAAGGAATAGAGAAGTCATCTGCACATGCTTACACCCTGTCCTAGTTCCACCTTCATGTGCTGGCTTGCAGACACAAGTCTGAGGCCTCAAGAGACCTTGTATGCTTCCAGAATCCCAGGAGGTTGTTCCTGAAGAATGAAGCATGTGGTTTGAAGATACTGGTGGTACCAAATTCCTTCCAGCCTCAGAAAAAGGAGAGGTCAGCTGGTGCAAAGACTCACACCCACCCCCAGCAGCACTGCAGTTCCACTGGTAGCCTTGCCTTTTCCTTACATGTCCTTCCTTTGCTAAGTTGAGACAGGTCTGTACAGAGGAGGGGTCCTGGCAGCCCACCCAGGCAGCCAGAGTCTGGGCAGCCAGCTCTCCCAGGCCTTGATATAGAGCTCCTCTCAGCTGACTATTAAGGCCATTCTGGACCAATTCCTGAGACAAGGGAGTCTGGGGTTTGGCTCCCAGCTCAAGGAGCAGCTGGGCCGGAGCCAGAGGGAACCAGAGCTTGGCACAGAGTGAGTGCTGGAGGCTAGTGGGGAAGTGGCAATTAGGTTATGTTAGGGAGAGAAGCACTTTCTCAGGGTCTGTCACCGGTGAAGGAAGAGCTTGTGGGCTGG